TTATTGATGTGACGGCCTAGGGTGGGTCGTTACATGCTTCATGTGGAATTATTCATATTGATATATTATATCGTATTTAAATATCCTTGAAAAAGAGGAATATAGCTATTTCTCAATGTGTTCATTAATATGAATTCTCCCCTTCTTAAAAGGATCAATTAAAGAAAACCTTAAAAAAGCAAGATAACATTTTAAAACTAGGTAAAGAATACCATTATAAAACTTAGCCACATAAAATTAAAACGCAATTCTATAGGCAACAAGTCGAACAATTTATAAATTATAAGAGCATAATTTACTTAATATTAGATACCAATAGAATGTAATATAATATAAATAAAGGAAAATGCAGATTCAACATTTTTTAGGCTTATTATTTTTAATTTCTAATTTACTTTGGCAAAATTGATATAAAATATTTTTCAGACTATAATGCATTCAATTTCTGATAAGGCACCAATTATGAGTGCAAAGAACCTCTGCATCAATGAAACGAATATCCTTTACTTCATATTCAGTAGCTTCATTGACTTCCTCTCCATGAAGGACAACACGAACATCAGATACCAAGCCATCCTCATTGTTTTGACAACTGAGTGTGGTCAAATCAATATCTCTATTTGGAAGATATGTTTTAAATGGAACAGACCCATATGAAAAAACCTGTAACATAGAAAAATTAACATCAGTAATGCTATACCCAATCAGATAGAAAGAATCATGTCATTACTTCCTATTCCCGTTCATATATCAATTTAATAAATGCATAATTAAAACAAAAAAAATTGTAAAATGAAGATAAAAATATCCAAATATTTGACAATAACACCATCCCATCTCCGGTAAAAAAGCAAATAACTATTATTTGGAAGTGTTTATCCTTACTTGGCCATATGGTTCCACCTTAACATCATTAGAGCAAAAGAACCAAGGTCACAGCCAATCACACTACATTTCCTTTCACATTTAGCTGCCCCGATAACCAACCAATACCAAGAGCAAACTAAGCCAAACCACTAACTAGCTACCCCAGATGAGTCTCTAGACGTAATCGACAACCTCCATCCACTTGCGGTCGACAACGAGCGTTGGCTGTATGCAACGAAGAATCTCGCTGGTGGTTTTCTCGGCCATCGCCAAGACATCTGGCACGACGGAGGACGAATCAGGTTTGGGTGCATGATGAGGGTAAGGATAATGAGGGTTTGGGTGCGTGACGAGGGCAAGGAGAACAAGGGTTTGGGTGCATGATGAGGGCAAGGAGAATGTCGAAAAGGGTTTTGGTGCGAGATGAGGGCAAGAACATTGTTGAAGAAAGTTTTTAGCTATGTGAGATTGTGAGGATAACAATACTGCAAGTATAGAATGGATGTTTCCATATTACATCGGTCACGAAGTAAACCAATGAAGAACATTTGAACTTTTCAATACTACATCGGTCAGTTAAAAAACTGATGTAGGACATTTTACATTTACATCGTTTCTCTTTAGAACCGATGTAAATATGCTTGCAATTTTTATTTAATTACAAAAATGCCATCGTATTTTATTTTTACATCGGTTTTACTAGAACCGATGTAGAATTGGCGATGTAGAATAATATTTTTTTAGTAGTGAGGAGATTATTTATATGTAGAGTTACATGAGGGAATTGGGTAGAGGAAGAGTCCCTTAGGATTATGAGTAATTTTATAATTATTTCTGTTGGGAGAATTATTGGTCTTATTTGATTCTGTATGTATTTAGGACTATGAATATATGATCAATTTGTAAAAATGATGATCTAGAAGAGAGAACGAAATTGTAGAAAAGTGCCTGTGAGCTAGGTTTTGGAACAATTGGGGGTTTTACTATTTATGTTAAGATTGTATTAAATTGATAATTCCATTGATTATTATATTAATTTATGAATGTTATTACTATATTACTTGATAAAAATTGATGACTTAGATGTGAATTGCTTGAGATGTATGAAACCCATTATTTTGGACTTCTCTGATGTGTGTATCGAATTGAACTATGAGATGTTGTGTGGAATGTGAATGAGATGTGATTATGGTTCTTCACACCTATGACCAGGGGTGAGCACGACCCGAGATTGTTACATGGGTATCATGACCTTGGTTAACATGTCAAGGGTGAGCATGACCCTAGGTTAGGGATAACGTGACCTTGGCACAGTGTTATATCAGGGGTGAGCACGGCCTTGGATTGTTACGTGGGTATCGTGACCTTGAATAACATGTCGGGGGTGAGCATGACCCTGGGCTAGATATGTACAGGGGAATCGTGACCTTGGCATAGTGTTATGTTAAGTGTGAGCACGGCCTTGGATTGTTAAATGGGTAGCGTGACCTTGGCATAGTGTGAAGTGCAAGATTTGTGATGATTGGTGTGATTGAGAATTATGATGCGATGACGATGCATGGTTGATTGCAATACGAATATTGTTATAATGAGATAATATGTTGTGTTTTCTTATGTGCTATATATATAGATGTTTTCTTTTCTCACCGTGAAATTGTGGATGTTCTCGGTGAGGAAGATCCGACTATGAGTGACATCTAGAATGCCAACGGTTGAATTGTGGGTATGCTCTGATATTGTGACATCGGGGCAGAGGATTTCTAAGACATGGATTTTTATATGGATTTGGAGTTGTACTTATTACTTTAAAAACAATTTGTAAACTCTTACATTTTATTTTCCAATGTTCATTTCCAATCATTTTGGTTATTGAAGAATATTTGTGAAGGTTTTTAATGTGAACCCTTTTACCAGTGTTGAAAAATTTATTTCCTTAATTTAATTACATTATCACACTTTATGTGTTGGGGTAGTAAGGGTGTCATATTTAGTGGTATCAGAGCAGGTCGATTCAATCGGCCGTGAGTTATGAGTCTGTTATGCTTGTTTGGTAAATGAATGATGTAGTGAATTGATTGTTGAACTTATTGATATGCTAGTATGACGATTGATTATATTTGTTGTTTAATTTTAATTAGATTATAATTGTTAACTTTTCTGGGGATCAGAAACGTAATGGCAGGAGGTAGGAATGATCGTGCAATCGCTGATGCTCTACAAGTGATGGCTCAGGCTCTTGGTAATATGAACCAATGACCAGAGGTGGATTGGATGGAGAGATTTCAGCAAAATAATCCACCAAGTTTCCGTGGGAGTTATAATCATGATGGAGCTGCTGACTGGATTTTTGAAGTTGAAAAGATATTCCAAGATATGGGATGTCCTTTGATACAGAAGGTGACTTTGGCTGCCTTCATGCTTTCTAGAGAGGCTGGCATCTGGTGGCAAGGTGCTTTGCAAAGAATGATAGTTGTAGGTACCCAAGTGAATTGGGAGAATTTCAAGCAGCTATTCTTGGAGAAATACTTTCCCTGAGATGTGAGACATAAGAAACAGGTGGAATTCCTTGAGTTGAAGCAAGGAGAAAAGTCTGTGGCTGAGTATATTACTAAGTTTGAAGACCTGGTTAGATTTTGTCCCATGTATGATGGTGTGGGCAATGAGGAGGACAAATGTGTGAAGTTTGTCAGTGGTCTTCGCCCTGAGATTAAACAAGTTTTCAATTATCAAGGGATCACTCACTATCATGAATTGGTAAACAAGTGTCGAGTATATGATGAGAACAACCGTGCTAGGGTAACTCATTATAAAAGTGGAGGACCCATGAGGAATAATAAGTTTGGTTCATCTAGTAAGAGTAAACCTTACACCAAGTCTGCTGAGGACTCAAGTTCTAAGATGAATAATCAAGGTTCTGTCCAACAAAGGAGCCAAGTTCCAACGGCTAGCCAAACTTTTAGAGGGGGAAGTGTGGGTTCTGTTCCACACAACAACTGCTACAACTGTGGGAAGCCAGGTCATAGGGCATATGAGTGTCTGTTTCCTAGAGTAATAACATGCTTCAATTGTCAAGAGAAGGGACACAGAGCTCGTGATTGCCCGAAGAACAAGATAACAGAGGTTGGAGGGAGTGCTAGCAAACCTAGAGCGAC